GGGGGGGGACGGGGGTGCCTGGCTCTTCTCCCACTGGGCTCCCCGCTTGGGCCAAAGCCAAGCCTCCACAGCTGGGGAAGAAATGTGCAGTTCCCAGAGGGAGTCATGCCGGGGAAGAAGGAAGTAGGCCAAAAGTCCAGGGCTGCACTGTGGTGTCAGAGCAGTTTTGCCCAAGTTGCTTGTTCAGCACGATTGGCAGAGGGTACGCAGGGCCATGGAGAGGCAGGATCTGGCCAGTTGGGGCCCCTCCATGTGGGGGAGAGGTGAAAAGTATCCCCTCTTGGTGGGGGTGGGGTGGGGCTGGCAGTGAGTGCATGTGTTAGGAATTAAATGTGCAAGACAGACAGACCGACCGACCGACGGTCTTCTGTGCCCAGTGTGACCCCCTCCTTTCCTCCTGATCGCCAGACAAATCCAGACACCAGCCTCTAGGGTCACCATCCGGAGGACAGGGGGAAAAGGCCACACTCGGAGTCCAAGAACTAGATAGAACGTCCCAGCCCGGATTTAGCAATGCATTCCTCTCTAGCAATTAATATCAAACCAACTAGCTTGTTTTGACAGGTTTATTTCACATCCTATGAATGTATGTAAATAAACTGTACATAGGGACATCGACGTAAAATATCTTTTAATAACATATCGACATTTGTGTAAATTTGAAATTAAAAAAAGAAATCTACAAAGCTGGTGTACATATGTGACAATTATGTATATTTTCTTTGTTGCTTCATAAAAAAAATATATATTTACTTTGCCAATAAAAAGAAAAAAAGAACTCGATCACTTTGGGGTGTACTTGTACTGTCTTCCGTGGCTCCTGGGAGGTGGGAAGATTCGGGGCTGTTAGAGAGAGGGTACCCTCCCCCTGAGTTGCTTAGCACCTCGATTCTGGTGAGGCTGGCCTCCAAATTGCAATCCTCCTGCCTCAGCCTCCCGGATCACCTGTGGAAAGCCTGGGAGACACACATGCAGCTCTTCCTACCACTATTGAGTGATTCAAGCACTTATTGTGCACCTTCTGTATATGTGGTTGGTACTGAGGGCAGATCTCTAGAAATGTGGCTGAGCCGTGGGTTGTTTTTTGGTTGGTTGGTTGGTGGGTGGGTTGGTTGGCTTGTTTGTTTCAGTGCTGTGGATCGACCCGGGGCCTCACGCAAGCGCTCCACCATTGAGCCACATCCCCAGCCACATCCCCTGGCCTGCCTGAGCCTCTGGGCTAGTGTGAGACTCGTGGTGAGAGGCCTCCCTTGGTTCACTCACAGGAAGCAGGAGGTGTCAGTCTCCTAGAAGACTTTCCTTGTGCGCTCTGCTCTTTAAAAGAGCTGGTGGCACTAGGCATACTGCTGCACTCCTGTCATCCTAGTGACTGGGGAGGCTGAGGCAGGAGGATCACAAATCAGAGGCCAGCCTCAGCCACTTAGCGAGGCCCTAAGCAACTCAGCGAGACCCTGTCTCAAAATAGAATATAAAAAGGGCTGGGGACGGGGCTCCGTGGTGAAGCACCCCTGGCTTCAATCCCTGGTGGCTTAGGAACCCATGGCTGTTGTGCTGACATTGACTTTTTGCCTGTGCCCAGCACCCAACTCTGCTGATTGGAGGACGGATATCTCCTCCTGATGGTCCTGTCCTGGGGACAGAACTGGGCCTTGTGACCTTTGCCCTTTGCCCCTGGCCAGATATACCCTGGGGGGGGGAGGCAAACATGCCCTGGAGAAGCGCAGGATCGATTTCCAGCGCTAACATAATCTTTCATCCATAAACGATCAATCGCAACCGCAGATAAGGGGGACCCGGGAAAGGCTGGATCCCATCCTTAAACTCCTCCAGCTGACCTGTCCAGCCCAGGCCAGGCTGACCAGGTGATCTAAATTGTCCCCTTCCATTGGGGACCCCCGGTTTCTCACCTGAAGTGTGCATTGTCACAGGTCGGGTGCCTCTGCCCTGCGGTGAACCTCGGTGAGGAGGGTTGGGCTGGTGCTCAGCTGTGCATCGTGAGCAGGGCCCTGATGTCTCTCTTTAATTTTTTTTTAATTTTTTTTATTTTTAAGTGCCAAGGATTGAACCCAGGGCTGCTTCACCACGGAGCCCCCGTCCCCAGCCCCTTTTTTTGTATTTTATTTAGAGACAGGGTCTCGCTGAGATGCTTAGGGCCTCACTAAGCTGCTGAGGCTGGCCTCCACCTTACGATCCTCCTGCCTTGGCCTCCCAAGCACCCAGGAGGAAGCACCCTTTCTTGATCACTATACCAGGCAACATATGGGTCAGCAAAGAAATCTCTGAATTCAGGTGGAAGTTTGGCCTGGCGCCGTGGCACCAGCCGGATTCGGAGGCTGTGGTTGAACGCCCCTGGGTGCCATCCCTAGCACCAAAAAAAAAAAAAAGAAAAAAGAAAAAAAAAGATGTAAGTTTATTTTCCTCTGTTAAAACAGTCTGAAAATAAGCTGGAAGGGTTAATATGGTGACTCTAGGCTTCTTCTCCTCTGATGCTCCTCCTCTGCGCCCTGGGGTGTCCATTCAAGAGGACTTGGGCCAGCAGGTGAAGGCCGGTGGCCCCGCCCTGCCTGACAGGCGAGATTTGCATAATCTGGTCTACTCGTCTCCCATTGGCCATCATGGAGTCACATGGCCTCATGCACTGCAAGGGAAGCTGGGAAATGTAGTCTTTCGCTGGGAGGCTCTTGCCTAGCTGGGGTATGTAAGCTCTCTTGCAAGAGAAAAAGGGGACAGTACAAATCGGGGGCAGCCAGCAGTTTGTGCCGCCAACCCAGCGTGCTCTGGCCTCCCAGGAGGCTACACAGCACGGGCACCAAGGGGCACCCGTGGGCTCATCCTCCGGGCCTCTCTTCTCCACCTTGGCCGAAGGGCACCCCAGGAGGGTTTGCAGGGACAGGGGAGTGTCGCGAAGGGAAACCCACGAGGAGCCAGGAGGTCCCCATGCAGAAGTTCAGAGTGCACGTGACAGAATCCCAACTCCCTGTGGACAAACCAAACCTTCACCAGGTCACCGTGGTCTGCTCCTGAACTGGGGGCAGAGTCTGTCAATCCAAGAGAAGGGGACAGAGTCACAGAGCCCCGCCATCGGGGCTTGCAGGGGAAATGGCAGCTTCTCTTAGCTGCATTGGTGCGGAGTGTGCAAGGCACGGGCCGAGGAGGCCTCTGGAAGTGGGCACATGCACCTGCAGGGACAGGAATTGGAACCTACCCAAGGGGACAGCGAATAGGGGCCAGACGGATCTAGTATGTGACAAAGACCAGGTCCCAACAGGCCCTGCTTTACTTGAGGATGGACACAGTCGCTCTGGGGCCTATTTAAAGCTTCAGAATAAGGCAGAGAGAAGCTCAGAAATAACAGTGTCCACCTGGACGGTCCCCTGCCTTTCCTAGCTCCCAGCAGGTCCTGGGGAGACCCAGGCTGCAATATCAGAGTATGAGCTGAGGGTAAAACGGGGTGGAAGGGAAATGGGAGATTGGGATGAGCGGGGCTCACACCTGTGATCCCAGTGGCTCTGGAGGCTGAGGCAGGAGGATTCCAAGTTCGAGGCCACAGCCTCAGCTACTTGGCCCTAAATGACTTAATGAGACCCTGTCTATTATGGTCTGGCTGTGAGGTGTCCCCCAAAAGCTCACGTGGGAGACAATGCAGGAGGAGTTGGAGGAGAAAGAATTGGGTTACAGCCTTGACCCAACCACTGGGTTTATCCCTGGGGGTCCCCTGGTGGCCCCTGGAGGCAGGTGGGGTGTGATGGAGGAGGTGGCCCTAGGGGCGTGGCTTGGGGGGTCTCTATTTGTCCCTGGAGAGTGGAGTCGCTGCTCCCTGGTCCCCATGGGAGCTGCTCCCTCCCCACACTCTTCCTCTTATTTAAAGAAAGGGTCTCACTGAGTTGCTTAGAGCCTCCCTAAGTGGCTGAGGCTGGCCTCCAACTTTTGATCCTCCTGCCTCAGCCTCCTGAAGGCTGGGACCACAGGTGTCCACCACGGTGCCCTGAAGGATTTGCTTTTTGCGTCTGTCTCTCCTGCCTCAGGCTCCTCTGTCTTCCTCTTGGAACCTCAAATTCCCTGCCTCTTTAAATCCACAGAACACAGGGCAACTCCCTAAAAGGGATGATGATTATAGTTCCTTCTTCTTAGGGTCACAGTGCAGACAAAAATGAGTGCAAATTATGAAATGCACCTAGAATAGCATCTGGAAAATAGCAAAGGCTGTTGTTATTTGTGGTTCAATAGTTCAAATTGTTTTTAAAGTGCTAGGGACAGAACCCAGGGCCCAACACATGCTAGGCAAGAGCTGAATCCCCAGCCCTGTTGTGCTATTTTTTTTTTTTTTTTGGTACCAGGGATTGAACTCAGGGGCCCT